AAGCATTGAATATTAAAGACTCAAATCTGTTGTGTACTCCCCAGAAATCTAATGTTTTTTTTGTTTTGTTTTTTTAAAAAAAATATTTTTTGAAATGAACAGGACATGAATATTGAGATAAAAATGGTTTCAGCTCTTAACACAAATTTGCATTTAAAATAAGCAATAAACTAAACCTAAAATTGGGGGAGGGGGTAAATTATATGCAGAAACCAAATACACAGTAACTATGCATAAATGAATCAAAATACAATTAAATTTTCAGAATTGACGAGGTACATGGACTACTTCATTAAGGAAAAAAAGCTTCAGGCAATTTTGAATGCGACTACCTTTTTTAAGCTTGGTTCACTGTTAGAGTAGAGACAAGATAAGTGAACATTTACTATACACTGCTGGTTAACATATTCACAAAAGTTTCAATCTAAATTTCCATGATGACCTACTGTCACTATTCAACAATTTCTTTGGACCAACATCATCTTTGCTGCTTTTAATCACACAATGTCAGCTGGTACATTCCCTGAAATGATGGAACAGACTGGACAAAGAGTGAACTCCAAACCTTGGAAATCCTATTTAACACCAAGTAACATGCAAGTGTATTTTGTTTCTACATCCAGGTCTATTTTTTGTTGTTCTCCTTGACTTTATGATTTCTTGGACAACATTTTCTCTATTTTGTGAGTGACAAAAATTAAAAATTTGATTAAAAAAAAAAAAATTCTTAACAATACAATAGGAAAGTTTCTAGCACAGAACATTACATAATGACAGAGAAGTTTGGCCATTGTATTTGGTTTTGGTTCCCAATTTACAGGTAAAACTTAAGAGAAAAAAAAAAGTATTTTCTCTTTAGGAGAGAAAAAAAAACAAGAATTTCTTCAATCAACAAATGATTTAAAATCAGGACTGAATATATACAGAATTAGGAGGATTTTATAAAAATACCAGTTTTATATAAGTTATATAAAACTGGTATTATGAAGAAGAATCACTTCTTGGTCGAAAAATCAAAATAAAGAGAATGTTGGTTTGTGATAGGACGGGGATCCCTATTTTGGCTGTCTATACCTTCTCTATGTTCTTTATGCCTAATTCGTCTGTACCCTTCCGGCACGTGATGACCCCACTTAAACATGACCTATGCCACATTCCATCCTCATTGCTGGGAGGTCGGACATTATGATTCAATAAATCAACTTAATTTTTTTGAAAACACTTATATAAAAAAAAAAAAAAAAAAAAAGTAAAATTAAACGACAGCATCTATGTCGGATTGTCATCGGCGTAGTTTACAAATAAAAAATACTTTGAGAAAATTTAACTCGTCCAAGAATTCAGATACTCCTGATTTTAATTTAGTATTTATTTATTTATTTTTTTTAGTGTGGTAGGAGACCATAAGTAAGAGTTGAAATTTTAATTATAATTTAATGAAAAAAAAAAAAAAAAAAAAAAAAAAAACGCAAACTTTTTTTTTTTATTTATGTTGGATCTTGTTTTTTTTTTTACTTGACAAAATAACAAAGAGAGAAATTACGAAAAAAAGAACCACTACTAAATGAAGAAAGTAATCCACCCTCCACTCATTTATTTCCTATTCTTGATTGCATGGCAAATGTCTTTTTAAAAATTTTACGAGGTAACTTTATTTTATTTAAGTATTTTGAATCTACGTCGTGCTATTATCTAGAGTCGAAAAAAAAAAAGTTTTTAAAGAGTACGTGGCAAGACAAGAAAGGTTTTGTTTATGTAAAAAAAAATATTTTCTTTCTCTTTTCTTCAGAAAACAGAAAGAATGACAAATGAATAGAGAAACAAATAACCTTGACATTTATTAAAAGTAAAACAAAGGTAGATGTTTAAAAAGTAAAACAGTTTAATTTCGATTTTATTAAACATAAAGACACTGATGATAAAAATTCAAGTTGGCAACTGATTTCTTTACGCATCGTCGGGGCGGGGGACGTAATCAAGTTTTCTTGGAATCTAGTTTTGATTTTTTGCGTGTGAATTTTAAAGTGGCTGAAAATCTATTCTACATGCAGTTTTTTTTAGAAGTTCCAAATAACACAGCGCTGATTTCAATCGAGCTCAGAGTGAGAGTAAAAAAAGTGAATTTTCTTTTTTTAACATTTCAAAACTTCTAAAATACAGCATACTAGTTGTTGTGATATAGACAGACACAATTTTTCAACCAATAGCCATTTTTTAGCCATCTTCAGCAGGTGTCTATTAGTTGATTCGGAATATGCTGAAAGTAATTGAAATTGTGTTACCGTTTTTTAGTGTTATCTTTTTTTAATGTCGTTTTAAATAACTGTCGTCTAGTGGTTAGGGTTCAATCGCTGGAACGAACACGCAACGTCATCACACTCACAGAAACAAATTACACACACACATACACTCAGTAGTACAATAGCTAGTCTACAAGAAGAAATAATGAACACCAGACGATGGCCATAGGGTATTTGACTGAAACGTTGTCTGTAATTAATAATAACAAATATGATAATCAAAGATGAGAGTAATAGTTTGAACAACTAATAAGTCAGAGTATTATTATTATTACGATCGCGTTAAGTAGTATTAGAATACACATGTGTGAGGAGCCGAAAGTGGAATCGTTGTTCCAAGTTCAATTTCTGTTTTCATTTTGCACTACTTTTTGGAAAAGACATGAATGAATTCATGGGCTAAAATATCTGGGCAGATTGGGTTCTCTTGTTTTGACTCAAAACTTTTGAGTGACTGTCAACCTCCTAAGGAGAAGGAAAAAAACTGAATTCCAAACAAGTAGGAAGATTGGTGTACTAATTTTCCAACTGGTGGCAAGGTGGAAGAAGAGACATGATAAAACAAAATAAATATAAAATATTTTTAAATGGTAATGTCAAATTACTTAGCAGTTAGAGAAAACATTCATTTATTTTTTCTATTACAATATTTTGGAGAGAAAAAAAAATTTACCCATTGAATATTTCAAAATGAAGTTTTCAATTGAATAAAGTAAAAAACTAAAAGTCTGTATGTGGAGTCAGTGCTATTGAAATGCCAAGCTTCACGACATAAATTCAAATTAGATCGCTTTTTTTTCTTTTCTTTTTTTTTTTAAACCACACTAATTGAAATAATAGTGACAATTTATTATTTCCTTTCATTTTTTTTTTTAGTATTCCTGAAGGAAATTTATTTTCAACCGTTTTACAGTCACTCTAAAATGCTACAGAAGGAAGCTTTAACCTAATTGAAAAAAAAAAAACAATCCTACTTTGAAGTTCAGAAATTGTGTTAAGCCGAAAAAAAAAAAAAAAAAAAATACTATTAATCAGTAATTACTTCTACTCTTGAGTAAAAAACATGTAACAATTTTTAATGAATGTAATGTAAAGATGAATAAATACGAATGTCAAATATTGATAAGTTCTCATTTGAAATAAAAAAACAAAAATCAATTATGAAAATAGGACTGTGCGAGACAGCCACGATAATCAAATAAATGTCAAAAAATAAAAAGTCTGATATTGGATTTAGTAACAAATAATTTATTTAAATAATTTATTTTAAACTTTAATTAAAAGTTTAAAAAGAAGAAAAGTCCTAGACACCTTAAAAAAACGAAGGCTGGACAGCAACTGACCGAAATATTGTGAGCGTAATTAATTTTTCATCTCAAAATAAATAAATCGACAAAATTAATAAACAATAAACATAGATGAAAAAAAAAAAAGTAATATTATCAAACTTATTGTTTTTTTTTTTTTTTAGCCTGATTCATTTTTTTTTTTTTTCGAAAGTATTATGTTTCATTAATGAATATATTTTGTAAAAGTTAAAATTACTTCCTAATTGATTTCTAAGAGGAAGTGCTTTTCCGGCTTTCTGATCTAAAAAAAAATAAAAATAATAATAATTGCTTTCTCTCTAGTCTTGGGTAGAATTGTTAATTAGCTAATTATAATCGGATATCACTAACAAGTCCTAAAACTTTCTCGGTGATTCTAGGCTAGTAGAAATTTGAGACTAACAATACTAGTTTAGTAAAAATTTAGGACTAATAATCACTAGTTACCCAGTACAACAAAAGTAAAACACAAGAAGGCTTCTTAACTTGAGGATCGCCTGGCTTTTTAAAACCCATATGGAAAGCGATTTTTGTGTTTATTTTCTTTACTTATGACTGTGCCAATTGAAATGAAACAAACACCCAGCTTAAGTCAAATTAAGTAGAATTAAACAAAGAGAGAGACGTTATTTAATACTTTTTCAAACACCCATTTAAACCGATAATCATAATTAAAATAAAATTCTTCCAGCAAAAATAAATAGGATAAAAAAGAGGAAGGTAGATAAGAAAGAACAATGATAAGAATAGTGACTGTAATGAATCATTATTAATGATAAAATATACAAAAAAAAACAAACTACAGACACATTGTCGTGGGATTATTATTCCAAAAATCAATCATTTTTTAAATGTTTGGTCGCATAAAAATGTTTTAAAAGTATAATTTTAATTAAAATCCTGCAAAAATTAGGCAACGTATCCCTTGACAATAGTTTTTCTTTATAAACTGTATTGCAATTTTTTACTGTATTTTTTTTTTTTTATTTCATTGTAAAGTGTTAGAGAAACGGCCTTCTTTTTGGTAAAAAAATGATGAATTATTATTTATATTTCCCGATTTCCGCTTTCAGAAAAAAAAAAAAAAAAGATAAATTATGTGAAATTCGTTTTGGACACAAAACTGGAAGATATCAGAATCAGATTTTAAAAATAGCTGGGGGGGGGACACTTTCAAATTTAAAAATTATTAACCAATTTACAGATAAATTGTTTGTTTTTTTTGACAATTAAAAACAAAATTACCAATTGTCAAGCAAGATTTTACTATTTTTTTTATGTGTAGCAACGTAAACGAACTGACACAAGAAGACAGAATTACAACATGGTTATTTTTAAAAACTTAGAAATTATTATCATAATTTTTACAAACCTGTTGAAAGGGTGAAATCCAAATTGAAATGTAGAATAATCCAAGAAGAGATGACGATAAAGTCAGTCGGGTTCTAAAAGGACGTGAACCCGACATTATTTTTCTTATTTTCAATTTAAAAATTATTATTATTTTCTACTGTAGCCACTAATGGCTATTGTCCATTCCGATCTAACAGCTTCAAGATTTTGTAAATAATAATAATATCAAAATAAAGTTCAAGTAATGTTTATATTCCTGGTCTAACAATGACACAGAGCCAACAAATAATGCATGTGACTCAAGTCAATCCAGTTCGACTGACGAAAGTGCGAAAAGCATGGAGGGCAGGACACTGTAACAAAGGGAAGTAACCAAGACAACAACCTGTGATTGAAACACTTGGTTATTACAGATTTTATTTTTTTATAAATTAATTAAAAAATAACCGATTATGAGGGGTGCGAATCCAAAAGAAGGGGACAGAATTCATTTTGATATAAAACCGAGAAATCTCCAAGAATTCACCGTTTTCATTTTTTCTGTTCTTTTTTTTTTTGGTGAATTTTAGTGGCAGTTCACAGGTCTGAAAATCTACTTGCATCCTTTTTAGAGACCTTGAGAATAAATTTTCTTTACATTTCAAAACTTCGAAAATCTATATACCATATTCATTGTCGTTGATGGAACTCATTGCCAAGTATTAGGGTGCTCGTGCTCATAAACATTTCCTTCTGCATGAAATGAGTCCTATCATAGATCTGAAGAGACGTCCACAGCCACGACATTGTTGTTGTTGTTGTTGTTGTTTTTTTTTTGTGGACTGACCTTCTAAGTAATTACCAATGTATTAAATATAAGCTTATCACAATTTCTGAACTTCAAAACCAGGATTGTTTTCCCTTTTTATTCTAGGTTGAGTTTCCTTGTCTAATAAAGCATCCAAAGAGTAATAAAATGGTTGAAAAAAAAAGAAACTTTATTTTCCTTCTGGAATAGCAAAATGAAAAGAAATTGTTACTCTCATTTCAATTAGTACTATAAAAAAATCTGTGAAATTAGTTTTCTATATTTAAACTATCTGTGAACCTTATGCAATAGCACTCTACATACAGATTGTCATTTACATAAAAAATAAATAAATAAAAATTAATTATAGAGTAAAAAAAAACAGTTATAATAAAATAATCATAACAATTATAATTATCATTAATTCATTCATTCTAAATCAATAGGAATCAACCCCACTTTTCTCCTTTACACACACACACACAAACACATGACATGCTAACTATTGGACAAGCAGTTCACACAGACAGGTCATCAAAACATTGGTCGACAAATATTTCATCTCTTTTTCCTTTTTCAGCCCATAATAGTAACATTTATCTTTTAACCCTCAACAAAAATTCAAGGTAAGAAAACTCCAGACACTTCTTGTATTTTCCAAGTAAATTATTTGGACACTCATTACACACATCGTTATAAAATATACAAGAAAGACTGTATACATTTTATTTATTCTTTATCTTATCATTCTGTCAGATTCTGATCCATATTCGATCTACATTTGACCCCAAACTCACAATTTTACTCAGTCTTAATGTCTCTCATTTCTCCAACACTACATAACAACTAGTTAATAAATAATACTTGTTTTGTTTTTTCTTTCACATTTTGCTGTTTCTCATTTTTATGAGTGTTTTTGTAGATATCAATGTGAGGGAGTTTATAATTATTTAATCAGAGTTATAACTTCTCTAAAAGACATTATTGCAAATTTCATTTTGTAATGTTGAATGTGTAAATTTTATTTTCTCTCCAAAATACTGTATTAAAAATATAGTTAATAGAAAAGTAAAAAAAAAAGTAAATGAAAGGTAAAACAATATAAAAAATCATTTCCACCACTGTGCTCTCTGATCTTCTTCAAGTGTAAGTGATATTGTAGCAGTTGCTATGTTTTTCCACGCCCACATTTTATTCGCCTGCGATTGGCTAATAAATCACTACTACTTTTATATAGGACAATTTAGCCATCGCAGTTGTTTCTTTGAATCCTTCGGTTTTGAGCTTGCTTGCTTGTTCTGTTAGTACGAATGTAGTAATTGGTTAATTTTTAACCAATCACATATTTTAGTGCAAGATTAAGTTTTCCCTCATTGCCATGGGCGCCTACCATTTTTCTTAAAAGAGGCGACTTTTCGCAAGTCGTCAGTAAGATCCCGTAAGATTCCAGCCATCAGCACAAATCCACGATCTTACTCATCACATTTCAAACACACACACAGACACAGAATTTTGTAATATAAACTTACATTTCTCTCTGTGACTTTGTCAAGTTCAATCAATCAGAACTCTATTGATTCAAACTATTCTATAACACAACACATTTTTAATTAATTATCTTCTTGTGTTATTTATTCTTAACATGCATACTTGCTCTAATATTGATTTCTGAACATTTTTCTCTCAAGAGAACTTTCTTCGAACAATAAATTACAAATCATTCTACAGTTGAAGGGGAACAACTTCTTTCCCTTAATCTATATATTGAACACAGTTTTATTGCATGTTTGTTCTTGTATGTTATTTCAATATATATTTGCTGATTAACAATTTGGAGTTATTGTTGTTTACTTGAATCCCGTACTTAGTGGCCTTTTACAATATCATTTTGGTCAACATCAGAATGGGGATAAAGAAATACAAGGGATCACAATATTCCATAATACCTGTTCTTCATTGACTATACCAAAGAATTTGACTGTGTCAGCCATGTCCAGCTGTGCCAAACAAAGGAGAAGATGGGGTTTTCACATCACATTGTGTGCCTTATCAGCAGTTTCTATAGAGATCAGGAATTTGCTGCATGATCATCTGTGGGTTTAGCAGAGTGGTTTCCTATAGGAAGAGGTATTAGGCTGCATCCTATCACTGATATTGTTCAACACTTATAGCAGGGACATTATGTGCGATGCATTGGAAGAAAAGAAGCTTGGAGTCAAGATTGTTCGGTAGAACATTGGTAACATCAGGTTTGCTGATGATATGACCCTCTTCTTGATCTTCAAGAATAGCCTGATGACGTTACTACAGACTGTAAGTGATTCCAGCACCTGGCAAGGTCTTCTGCTAAACACCAAGAAGATCAACGTAATGGTGATTGATGGGGGGATGCACAGACTTCCTTCAAGATAGTCAGGGGATAGAAGAGACACTTTGTGTACCAGGACTCCAAAATGACCACCAGTATACACAACAGGTCTGGACAATCTTTAACCTTTGGGCCTGCAAAAAAATGAGGTATCAAAAGGATAGTTATTTCATTCTCTTGACATCATTATTATTTTAACTACTTTAACTCCTTAGGAATACACAATTTACCTTCAAGTTGAGCAAGCAGTAAAGTCACTGAAAGTCAGGAACAATACCTTTGATGACTAGATGATAATTCTGAGTTTTTTGCAAGTGAATATTTTATTAACAATATTTTTTTTGAGAATAACAATGATTTTTTTCCAATACAAGTCCTATTAGTTAACCCATAGCTGGAGGGAAGAGACGGATTCATATTTTTGCCAAGGGTAGTTGCATGCAAACAAATGTAACGATAGTGATCAGGGCAGCATCTATGCAAGAGTTTGTTCTATAAAGTAGCCATTCAAAAATTTATGCTCCTGATTGTTTTCTTGTCCCTTCATTCTAATACATGAGGCAATAACAACCATCCTATTATAATTGGGATTGTCTTCCTCTTGTTGATATTAAGAGATGGACTTTAATGACAGTGGCTGAGGCTGTAAGGGAAGCATCAGACATGAGGCAATAACAACCATCCTATTGTAATTGGGATTGTCTCCACCTTCGTTAGTTCACACGACCATTACGCCCTGCCAATACCTCATAAATAATAAACTATACTGTTTTGATCATGTGGAAAGAGGGGAAAAGTCAATACTTGGTTTCAGTGAGAAAATGAAAGCATGAAGGGAAGATAGAAATGAAGAGAGAATCAGATTAAGCTGATTAGAACAGATACTACACTTAGTTCTTAACCAAAAGGCAAAGAGTTATGGCAACTGCGATAAAAGTGTAATTTTTCAGAGGCACTCTATCGATCGAAGGAAATAAAAATTTTCTTGATGTCTAATCATAGTGTTATTCCCTTGCTTGAACTCCCATAACATTATGTGATGTAAATATGTAATATTTATGGTCCAGGAGTCATAACTAACTAGGAAGTAAAAAATTCTGAAGAAACGTTGGAAGATAAACCCAGATGTCACCCTTGTAAATGATAAAGCATGCATTATTTTTCGTTGTTATAATGTTGTCTATAAACCTATTCATGCAATTTTTTGTTTTTAGTCACTTGAATTTCATTAAAAAACATCAGATTACCAATTGAAAGCCAATGATTCACAGATGCATATAAAATAAATAATTATTTCTGAACCTTGATATTTGAAACAGATGTTACATTTGAGAAAAAATCAGAAAGAGAAAGAGTTTGAAATAACTGTTATTTTTTTAGGCTTATTGATTTTAATTTTTTCCTTTTTTTAATTTCTAACTCTCTCAATATAAGTAAACATACATAAAGAGTGTGTGAGGAAAAAAACATAATATAAAGAAAAAGCAGAAAAAAACAGTATATCTTTTTAAAATTTGTATTTACATTGCAATAATAAAAACAAAAATAGTCCCTTCAGTAAAATCAGCCGTGATGTGGCTCCAGAAACAACAGCATGTTTTGGTCAGGTTGTAATGCTACTCGTCAAACCTGGGCAATGGTAATCAATAATGTCACCTCATGGGTCGGTCCTTGTCACCGGCCACTGTTAATGTAGCTCTGTGCCCTATGTTGGTCCTCAAGTTCCATCAGACCACCATGGTTACCATTTAGCTGACTTTTCACTTGTTAGCACATGATTCATTGCCATTGGTATTGTGATGGTAGACATGGTTCCACTCAACTTAGCTGGTGTTTGTTAGTTCACAATCATTCACTCCCCTGCCATGTTGTGTTTTTGATCTCAGACGGTGAGATGATCAATGATGAAGCAAACTGAAGTGAAGGCAGTTCAACAGCTAGAGCTCCACAAAAAACAAGAATCCTTTGGAATAAAGAATTAACTTGGGTTAACACAAGGACTTGGTCAAGAGGTCTTGGCAAATGATGTGGATTCCAGTAGCAGTAGTATGGGGAATCTCTAAATTGCCCAAACTCCAGCTTATATGCAGTCCTGCATCTGGCAGGAGTAGGGTTGACTAGGGTTGACTAGGGTCTGGGTTCAGTTGTCTTCTACTCTAACATCAATCTTTTCTAAATTTCCATATATAAAAATAAATTTACTCAAGTGGTTTTCTAAATTTGGGCTTGTTCAGCACCCTTTTTAGAGTAGTCAGAAGAATCAAGCCACAACTTAAATCCAATTCCTTTCATGTCTCACCTCACACCATTGCTCCATATATCTGGTGCTAATCTCTGTCTTCCCCCTTCCATTTTCTCAGTAGCTAACCTCAGCCCTCTCCTATAGTTGGTGTAATGAATCCAACTTCTAGATGGTGTAGCAAAAAAAAAAGGGGATTTTCAGTCATTAATCTTTCTTTATCAGCTTGTCCCAAGCTGTGATTTCTCAATCAACCAAACCACTCAAGAATTGAGGAAAAGAGAAAAGGAAAGAAAAAATATTTCCACTCTCCTTAAGTTCAACAGACCACACAGCCTTTTTTGTCCATGGTCACTTCAAAATAGTAATTAATTTTTCCTTATCATTTGCATCCAAAGGAATCTGAATTAATGTTTGGATATAAAATTTTCCTCTGAACAAATGTCACAGAAATTATAATGATGAACGTGTCAAGTCAATCTCTATCTCTGTGTGGACGCTCTTCTGAGTGGCTGATTCAAAACATGACATGGCCATCCTTCCTCAGGTCCCCCAGGACTATCACAGATGATGTGAATTTACTGTGCAGGGGTGCAGGATGACTCACCACTGTCAACGCAACACTGCCAATAAAAAAATAAAGTCACGTATTTAAAAAACCACCCTTAATAAATTACTTTTATTTGTTTTTAAAAAGTCACTGAAAAAAGTGATTCAAAACAGAAGGTTTTTCCTGGCCCTTTTGTCCAGAGGAATTGTAAATGTTATTTTGGTAACCACTCTGGTCTCTTTATCAAAAACATGTTTTTATTTTATCTGACATCTTTGTGGATATGTTAATGGTCTCTTTCTCATCAGCAGGAAGTGGGAAAGGAAGCGTAGTCATGATTTTGTTCAGTCTTACTGAATTTCATTTAATTAAATTTGGGTTTGACTCTCCTTGAAAATATTTCAAAACACGATTTTGCAACGCATTTCATTTTTTAATTTTGTTCTCAACTTTTCAATCCATCTTCCTGCAAATTTCAACAATGACTCTTTCCTCTTCCTTTTTTTCTTCCTTTCACTTTTTGTTTGATCAACCTCCAGAGATGTCAGTGTCACAAGGTGGTTCTCATTCATGTAGGCCAGGAGTAGATAGGTTCACCTATCATCTGATTCACACTGCTCCCTGATATTTTGAACATGAGTAGAGTTTAGGGTTAGGGTTTTCACTTCATTCTGAATTCTGTTCATTCACTTTCCCAATCACAAAAATCTTGAACTTTTCAGGCCTAGTTGTTATCTTTCCTGCATAGCCCCCAACAACTTCACTTCTTGCCCCTTTCTTATGCTCACACAACACCACACAGTCAACCTCTACCTTGAGTGGCTCTTGTGCCTTGTATTGGGTGAACATTAATAAAAAATTTTTAAAAATGTCCATTATGGTAGCTTTCAAGTAGCCCTTGGTATAATGTGATCACTGATTTATATCCTTTTCAACAAAACTCCAAACATGGTAGTCCAGGAGATTTAACTCACAAGAGCTAAGAAGCTATATGTTTGGAGGTTACATGACTTAATTCTTAGTTACTCACTTCTAGGAGGAATAGGGGGTCTTCTAGAACATTTATATTTTCCCCTGTGCTACCCTCTTGATCTCAGGCTTGAATGCCCTTGCCATCACCATAAGTGGTAGCATTGACCCTGAGAATATTCAAGAAGTCAGAAAACATGGGATGGCCATACTTCCTCAGGGCCCCCAGGTCTATCACAGATGATGTGAATTTAATGTGCAGGGGTGCAGGACAACTCAACACTGGCCAACTTTTCTGATCTTGAAAATTAAACACCAGTCAGCCAAATAGTGATTTATTAGTTACAACACTCTAAGAGAAGCAGTCAAATTTTCAAAATCTCTATGACTCAAAGCCGATCTAACTGATATGCACACTATGACAGCCAACACCCGGTCTGAAGCTATAAATTCAGTGCCAGTGTTGAGTTATCCTGGAGTTGAGTTGTCACAGAGATAAGTTTGGTGGTGTTGAGTTGGCAGTAATGAAATATCCCATCCTGCTGTACAAAGCCATTTGTTGTTATTTCTCTTCAATTTTTGGTCTTGGTTAAAGTTCTTTTCATTGGAGAAGATTTAGAGCATGGCTGATTTGCTTGAGCTTGTCTAGCAGGTACTTGAATTGAAAGCACAAGACCAAATGTGGCAGCAATATTCAATGCATGGACAAAATGGCTGACTTATAAATGTGCCAGATGGATTCTGATGAGAAAAATTGTCTAGCATGACACAGTGAACCAACCTTCTCAACAGCAGACAAAGCAATATAAGCTTTTCATTTCATGTCATTTGGTGTCATTGTAATTGTGAGTTCAATCCCTGGACTCAGATGGAGCAATATTAAAAAAAAACAAAAAAAAAAAAAAACAAGATGAGATAGCCCTAGATATGGACAGTGGAATGATAACAATCCATCCTTGTATAAAGGGTTCAATTTGAAATTCCTTGAAAGTTACACCTGGAGAAGGATAGAGGGCACAATAGTGAAAACATTATTATTGTAACAACAAAGATGAGGATGTTAGTGTGATTGTAAATAATGATTGTTTCTCATCCCAGAAATTCAAACTAAAATGTCTTTCTTCTCATGAAGGAGATTTATTTAAATTAATTCTGTTAGTATTTGTCTTATTCAAATAATCATCATCGGATTGGCATATTGTAACACTATTTGGGTTGCTGGTAATTGATAATCAAAATGGCGACTTGAAAACGAGATAATAATGAATAACTTGGAATAAAAAGGGTTAACCAATATCGGAAAAATAATCTTATAGTAAGAATTGTTCCCAGAGAATCGAAATATGTATAATGGACCAAATGACCACTTGAAAGTGATTCTCAGTTTGTGAGAACAAATCAGCTGTTGACAGCTGGTGACAACCAACGTCTGATTCATTTCATGAGATATCAGAATGAAAAACAATGTAATTGAACACCTGCGGCTGAGTGCTAAAGAAATTTCCCTGGGAAAGTGTCTCTTGGGTCAGAGGTAAGAGAGCCAAATGTGGTGTCGATTCATTTATGAAAAAAGTACATTTGAAAGCATCATTTTTTTATCAATCTCTGATCGAATGTTGGAGATGACAGGCGCAGAAGAGCGATCAAGGAAGAATGAGGGGATAATCTGCATCTACTAAAGAGTAGCAAGCACAGAAGAGACATTAAGGAGGTTGAAGGAGCTGCTCATGCTAATTGGAGAGCAATAGTGAGAGATGGTACTAAGAGAAGGTGGGGTAAGCCAGGTGGGGTAAGCGATGTCTGCAAAGCGAGAGAGGGAGAATTCCCCAAAATTACGAAACTAATTTAAATTTCTCAAGACCAAAAATAATAGAGTTTTGTTTGAAATCAGGAGGATTCACGGAAACCCAGCCTACATCTTGCCCTGCACTTGTTTTTAGTTATAGTCTATAAAAATGAATGCACGAAAGCCATTCAGACAATAGAGTTCAGTTCAACAGTAGAATTGAGCAGAGTCAGAGTTGTGAGCTGACAGTTGAAATGGAGGTCGCTGAGAGATTCCATATTTCCTGCTAAACACAAGAACATCTGACGTCAGCCGTGAGCGAAATTTACCAAAACAGTAAAACAAATTTCGATAACTCTGCAAGCCAAAAACTTACCAGTTTATTCAAGTGGTGTATCCGATTTAGGAACAGGTTGGGTCGACGGACACCTGTATGCGAACACAACTACTAACGAACCCTTGTATGCAGAATTGATATAAAGATAGTAATTAATTTATATATATATTTCGAGTACTTTTTTTTTTTTTCAATTTTATTGTACAACTTCATTCAACTTGAACCAGCCCAACACTAAGATACCTGCGATGAATTGATCTTAGTCTCGTTATAATCAAAATAATCACAACGTGGTGTAAGGCAGGTCAGTATAGAAGAGATCACTCCATTGATCCAGGATCCACCACGGGCGGACTGTGACAAAAGCTTACATCTATGGCCATTTGTTGGGAACCAGGATTGACTCTGAAGTATTAAAATATTGTTTAGTTTTATTATTTTAACTATTTTTTCTCTTCTGCCATTCTTATGAATATTATTACGTATACTGAAGACATTTGCTTCTTTATGATTACTACATCAAGCTTATAAAAAATATTATCCCTAAATTGAATATTTCCTCATATTGACTCCTTTAAAGACTGTAGATGTTGTAATTGTCATATGGTCTGGACTTTTGTAGACTAACTTCCTTTCTCCTCCTCCATCTTTCGTACACTGCATATTTATATTTTCTCAAATCTCGTGGTCGCCATGATTTTGCGTTAATTTGTCAGCATAAAAACAATATGGCTTCCCCACAAGATTCTTTTTACGTATGGACGCTCATCTCATGTTACATAATCCATCCATCTGGGCGGGTGTTGCTCTCTTTGCGATCTCCGCAGTGTTTGGGACTGAGCCTCATGAGAACTTCTCCCATTGTCCCCATCATTCTCTGAAGCCCCTCTAAGGTCAAGAACATGTCTTGGCATACCATCCACCTCAGCATTGTTGCACGACTGCACCCCAGTAACCGTTCCTCTTGTCCATTTTGTCGTGCAGCGGGCTCCAGTTGGCTTGACCCAAATCTCCTCCCCAATCCGTATAGATTCAGGTCCGTCAGAATGTGTTAAACATCATCTAACTCTAGGATGTCTCCATTGGTATGAGTAAATTGCTTTGTGTAGCACAGTGTCTTCACGTTGGTCAGATTTAGGTGACGTATTATACCAAAATACCACCTCGGCAGGCTTTTATAACTTTTATAGTTCGGTGGTTTCGTTCTACGATACCATTTCTACTAGGCCTGTATGCTGCTCTATAATATTGCCTAGTGTTCCACTTGTCCAACATCTCCTGAAACACTTCCGAATGGAACGCTGCCCCATTGTCCATGAGTACCTCTTCAACCGGTCCACGCTCAAAAAAAATCTCCCCCAGCTCCTTCGCAATGATGTCTGCCGTTTCTGCTCGAATCTCCCTCCAAATGGCGAACCGGCCAGGAACACAATCAACTATAGTCAGGTACATTTCACCTCTATAATGCGTCACATCGATATATAACCTGGACCAATTGGTGTCTACTTGGATCTCTCCTAATTCGTGAACATTTGGCGACGGGTCGATTGATTGACAACGATCGCAGCTTCTAATCACCTTCTGTACAGTATCTCTTGATACCTCCGGGTAGACTTTCCGTACTAGATATAGTGTTCTGTCCACTCCTACATGATGCAGTCCGTGCAACTCCTTGACCTCATCTCGGCCTGCACGGCACGTCGCTGTAATAGCTTTCTCTACTTTCAGCCAACTCTTTTTCACTCTGGTTAGAACATTGGCTTTATTTCTGTCAGAGGGCGTGAACGTTACACTCAGTTTTAAGTTAAATTCATCAATCATTTCCCTCAGAATCCCAAATGTCACATGATAAGTAGCTCTGCCGCTCCTTTTGTACGGATCCTTTTTTTCTCCGTTATCATAAGACTGATCGAACTGCAGACAGTAACCGAATCAGTTCGGATCTCGATCTCTTTTAGACCCCATTTCAATGCGAGGTTTACACACTTTATCGTAGCATCCAACTCGACATCGTTGATATGGTTGTAGTCACATTTCTTTCATAACGACACCACATCTTTGACTATCACACCATCGATCTCAATACATATACCAGTGGCCATACTGCTTGCGTCACACCATACAACGCCCTTTTCCAATTTCGGAACATGCCATCTTCCTCGAACTGGATCGTGGTGCCGAACCTCTTCCACAACTTCCCGTACCACACCGATTGTTTCACTATCCACTATGTCTTCCCAATCAATTTCTTCTGCTCTTCTCTTCAAATAACTGCAGGCAATTCTAAGCCTTCCAGCTATTGAGTAGTGGACCACCATTTTTCCGCAGGCAGCGAACAGTTCACGTCTGCTCATTTCCTCATGCACCTCAGGCAGATCATTCCCTCTCGCAAATACCAGATCTCCTGCTTTATCCATATGAATCCGAAGACCCAATGCTGCTTCTCCTTCTAATGATTCTTGTGGCTTTACTGTTAAGCCAAAGTTGTTAAGATGATTTACAAGCTCTGCTGCTGGTACCACTGTTTCATCCACTAGTATATCGTCAATATACGAATCCATGTTTTTTCTGATGTGTTCCTCTTTTTTTAGCACAGTTTTTAGGATTTTTGACATAATCTTCAGGGCTACATTTAGTCCAAACCCTAACCTAGTTAAACAATAGGTCTGTCCTTCGTACCAAACTAACTGGTACTTCCACAGATGTCTCGCAACATGTATTTGAAAATATACTGACCTTAGATCAACAATTTTTGATGCCGTTGTCATTTGCCTCCTCTTCCTCATTGTTTCTCCACAAAAGTCAATTGCATCCCCACCAGAATGGCACACAATGTATTTATTTAGTTCTCGGTAATCGAGAACTGGCCTGATCTTGTTTTATGTGGATTGTTCCACCGCCATTAAGGATAGCACTCCCGTCTGAACATCCTGGTCCCACGGGGTTAAGATTCTTTCCTCAATCCTCCGTTTAACTTCTTCTCCTTACTCAGTTTAGCATGGTAGTGATTAACGTTGTTTTTTAATATCGGGGGTTCTAATTCGCATTGATTTTTTTTTATACTCTTGCCGTTTGGTTGTATATTCATAGCACACTCTCCTCCTCTGAACTCCATGTTACCATTTTCGTAGACGGTAAGCCCTCCAAGCTGGCGGATAACATCCATGTCCACAATGACATCAACACCATCAATGATCTTTTCCATCACAATTGTCTTGATTCTCAGTAACCGTCCACATACTTCCAACGTCACTGTACTGATCCCTCTGCACACAACCTCCCGCCCATCCACTGCTCTTACAGTACTTGTACTCCTACAATCAGCCGAAAGACCCAACCGGATTAATGTTGCGGTGCAGCCAGTATCAACCAGGGCCCTTGCTCTTTTGCCTTCTGTTAGCACTTCTATTGTTGGTAGTGTTCCGGTTTGCGCCATTGTTGATTTGAAGGGGTAACCGCTGGTTGCCCCCTGTTTTTTTCACTGTGGGCAGTGTTTTACATAATGTCCTTGCTCGCCGCATCCATAGCAGGTCACCTTGATTGGTTCCCTACAGTCTCTCAACAAGTGAGGACCCTTGCAGTTATAACATTTGCCACTAAATGGTTTGATCACTCTTGGTCTTCCATCACGCTGTTTAGGTTTTCGTTCTGCGACCGCTAGCACTTCTGGTCTCCGTGTGGCTGTAAGTACCCTGGCAGTTGAGATTATTTCACTGAGTTCCAGTTTCTCCACATTTAGCAACTGCTGTCGTGGCACCGAAATACTTTCCGGGAACCCATTGACAAATGTGAGCTTCACAATCTGCTCTTGTCCATTTCCTTCAAACCCTGCTATTTCCGCCAGTCTCTTTATTTTCATTGCATACACATAAACGGCTTCGCTGATCCACCTCATCTTCACTAGCTTTGCATATGCAGAAAAAACTCCGTCCGTAAAAGCTGTTTTTAACTTAGCCTCTATTTTCTTTGAATCCCGTTGATCCTCTTCGGTCAACTGGAGATATAAGGCCAGAACGTATCCTACTTAAAAACAGGGGCATAAAGCTTGCGAGGTCATGGATTTTTTTTGCAGTCTCACTACCAATTTCACTTTTGCCAACCATGCCATCAAATCGCCTTCACCACTGAACGTTTTCACCATATTGACAGTTACTTAGCGATTCCCTTCCATATTGTCACGTTACTTAATATAACAGATATGTATGCCGAAATAGCTTGTAGATGTTGTATGTGTCGTATGGTTGCCATGATTTTTCGTCAATTTGTCAGCATAAAAACAATATGGCTTCCCCACGAGATTCTTTTTACGTACGGACGTCCATGAGGTAAGTTTTTTTTTTTCAAACTACAAAGACTTAATTTTTCAGAGTTGTAGTTATAACAATTTTAAATAAAATATTTAAGAGTTTTCTTGGTTCTCTGATAATGTGAGTGTGGTGTAATGTGATGGTGGTGTAATAGATAATGTGAGTGTGGTGTAATGTGAGTGTGGTGTAATGTGAGTGTGGTGTAATAGATAATGTGACGGTGGTGATAACAACTGTGAATTAAAAATTGAAGAGCTGAGTTTGAATTCCAGTC